CATTCTGCAGCTGCGTCGTCGGCATCGCGATATCAAAGCGAGAGAATGCGAAGCGCGTGGCGTAGCGCGACTCCACCTCATACATGGCCGCCGTGCCCTCGATGGCTCCCTCGGCTTGCGCACTAGTGGCGAAGCGTCCCGCGGCTGGGTAACTGTCCTGCTTCCCATTCCGTGGGACCGAGGAGGAAAAGGACTGCCCTAGCAGACCATGTGGAAAAGTGCGCTCCGGTGCGTTGCCCGGGGCACTGATAGACACGTCGAGGCGATGCCTTGGGCCCGAAATCCGGTCATAGACGTAGCCACCGCGCACGGTGGCGGCCCACGCGCGGACCTGGAAGACGGCGGAGGAGTAGCGCACCTTGATGGACATCTCCTCGCATCGGCGCGTGTGAGCGACCTGTACATTGAAGCTGCCAAAGTAGCCGCAGGTGCCGTTGACGAACCCGTAGCCGGTGTTAAAGTCATTGAGGGCCTCGGCCCAGAACGAGACGGTCGCAAGCTTACCCTTGGCCCCGCCGACGACGGCCACCATGTGCGCCTCCGTGACGAAGGTGCCGTGGACCGCCAACCGCCCCCCGTTGAGCCGGAAGCTTGCATTCTCCATCTTGACGTTGAGCGCAAGGCGGGGGGCAGAGAAAAAGGCGTAGTAGGCGCCACTGCGACCTCGAAAATCGGCGTGCCCACCGTGTGCAAAGGCGAGATGCGGGTCCTGCCTCGCGCCCGCCCTCGCGCCTGCCGCCACGGCGGTAACGCTCGTGGATGACGGATTGTTTGACGGCGGCGGCGAGGGCGGCGGCGTCGGAGGCTTTCCCGGGGGTCGAGGCGGTGAGGGCGGCACAAGGTGTTTGGCGACGATGGCACTTTGACAATCTGATGTCATCAAAAGGGCGGTGTGTGACGCGCCGGAGGCACCTTGCCCAGACCCCGCTGTCTCGCTTTGCGCGGTGACGAATGAAGTCAGAGCGCTCTCTACTGACCAACAGGATTTTACGTGACTGTTGAGCAGAGCATAAGGTAAGCATACCACCTGCACTGTGATTTGGGCATCGCACGCCTCCGAAAGGCTACGGCGGTGATCGGTGCTCAGAGCAACAGAGGAGCCGCATGCAGCTGTGACATGATGCGGCATTGAACCCGTGACGTCTGAAAGCACGTCCTCGGTTTGACTCAGAATCGTTTCGTTGCAGTATTGCTCACTTGCGCTGTCGCTGCCGCCACTGCTCGCGCTTGAGGCAGCTAGTAGGGCCGAGCTAAACGTAAACTCAACAAACGACGTCGGCGGATGTGTGGGTGGAGGTGAGGAAGTCAGCGGCGGCGGCGGCGAGGGCGGGGCGGAGGGCGGCGGAGCCGACGGCGGTGGCGGTGAGGGTGGAAGGGCGGCTGGTGGCGAGGGCGAGAGCGGCGGCAAGCCCGACGGAGGCGGGGGTGATGACGCGATTTCTTTGGTCCGTTGCCCAGACACATCCATCAGTCTCATGGACCCGCTCTCCTGCGGCGCCCGCGTGCGCTTGACGGGAAGGACCTGCGAGGGCACGGTGCGCTACGTCGGAAAGGCGGACTTTGACTCCGAAGGAACTTGGGTCGGCGTGGAGCTTGACGGCCCAGAGGGTCGGAACGACGGCTCGGTCGGCGGCGTGGCCTACTTCTCCTGCGCGCCTCTGCACGGTGTGTTCGTGAGGCCGGAGAAGGTTCGTCCGGCTGTTGGAGCGCCGCCGCGGGCGCCGTTTGATCGGCCGCTCGCTGGTGGCGGGCCTTCGGAAGCTGCGCCGCCCGCGCCGCAGCCGATGGATATTGGTGATGGGACGGCCTGTCCCGTCTGCACCTTTGTCAACGCGCCGGGCGCCGCCGCCTGCGAGATGTGCGGGACCCCGCTTGCCGCGGCCGACGCGCCGGCGACGGGCGACGCGATGCTGGCCGCCGCCATAGCTGCGTCGGAGCACGAGGCGGACGAGAGGGAGCGGGCGGCGACGAGGAGAATAGCAGCCTAAAGCCTCCCGCACCCACATACCTCCCACGAGCCCCTCCTGCACCTGCGTCTGACCGACCCCGTCCCCCTCCTGCAGCCCCGCACTACCTCCCCTGCGCGCGTCCGCAGCCCGTGCCCCTGCGCAGAAGCCCGCTCAGCCTCGGCCCCTCCCCAACCATGTGTGTGTACCTCCCGCCAGGCGCGAGCGCGAAGAGGTGCTCGCAGCGCTTCGCGAGTCGCGCGCC